AGGTGAGAACCGGTAAAGAATGCCTCTTCACTTGGCTAGGATCATCGATCAACTGGTCTCCCAAAATAGCCAAGATTCCTACCAACAATCCGACCCAAAACCAACAGAGAAACCACCAATCTTTTCAGTATTTCAGCCCTAAGAATACATCAAGGTTTCTTCAATCAATAGGCTACTAGGTCGATTTTGGTACGAAGAAGAAATGGCTCCCAAGGAACCAGAGAAGAAAAACGGGACCGAGAGTAAATCGTGCCAAGGAAGGAAGTCAGGGAGTTGTGTCCAAGAAGCCAAAGCCCACGTGATATATAGATTCAAAAATAGAAAATATCCCACCCACTTCAATTTCAACCATAGGTTGAATCAAGGGTCAAAAATGATACAAGGAAAAACATACAACCCGATTATAGCATAGGGCCAAGAAGGTGTTAAAGAGAACCACTTACCAAGCCCAATAAGACCACAAACTTCACCTTGGTTCTCGTAACACACACACTCGGAGAACGGAAGAGAGTCGTGGAGGGNATAGATACCCGGCCCAGTAAAGTGTTAAAGAGAATCACTTACCAAGCCCAATAAGCCCACAGGAACAATATTTTACTCTTAACTTTATTACTTGTTTGTGATACCATAGCTCGCGGGAAATCAAACAATCATTGTGGTTGAAAATCTGAGATAAATTTTTATGTGAATAACTCGGGCTAGCTAATAAATTCTGGTGGTTGGAAAAGTTATACGTCAAAAGACCGTAACCTTCAATGAAGAATGCAAGAATGACAATGCAACAGCTTATGAACTTATCCTGAGGAGAATTAAGGATGCACCAACGCAACCCACAAGCGGCTCCTCCACTCACGGCCTGTCGGTGGTGGTGGGAATTTCAACCTCAACAAGCTGAACTACGATGCTACACTTTCTTTCCTGAGACTCGGCTCCTATGGCAACATGAAGGCCTACACTTACTATGCCTTTGTTTAATCCTATTCATTTTTTTTTTCTAAATTCATTTTCAACCATACATTCTTTTAATAAATTAATTTCGTACGTAAACCTAAAACTTTCACCTACTTTTTAACATCGCACCTCCAAAAAATAATTATTACAAAACATATTTTTGACTAAAACATGGGGCTCAAACACACTATGACAACGTAAGCTACTTGAGATGAGAGGACATATTTGCTTTCTTTTCAAGATATTATATTAGAGAATGTGCATTGCCATCTAAGTGTCGACTATACGGACTATGCCAAAGGGGTATGTAGGTGGCATGTCTGAGCCCGAATGGACTTTCAGGCTGGAGCGAATGCTGCAAGCCACCGCAGATGGGACCGTGCCAGGGCAGAACTAAGGTGGATTACTACAGGATGCTTGTAGCACTAATTGACTTTGATATTGGCTAATTATATTCGTACCACGTTTTTTTATTTTGTAGCACATTTTAATATCACTAAAGGTCCTAATCTTTTATTTTATCATTGTAATACTTGTATTCCGAACTTTTTTAGTCGAATTCTTTTCCTCAACGTTCCATTTATAACACATCTGTTGCAATTTATTTGTCCAAATACTCAGTTTGCACTCTTTGAAGTTAATCCACACTTGTG